ATCTTTTTTGAAATTTTTATTATTTATTTATGATATCATGGGTTCCATTTGACCTAAAAGGTTGAATCATTGACCCACCACTTGAATAGAAAAATGGTTTTGTTTTTGGGTTACTTCTAAATCTTGCATTTCATTTCCATTGAATAAAAATACTTTTATTTAGCATGCTTAATATTAATTGTTTGATATGAAAACATTGATTGATCCATTTGATGATGGTGGTTGAACTATTTAATTGCCACTTAGTCAAAAAGGGTGGTTTATTTAATTATTTTTCTTATTGTTTTTGAACATAGGTTTTGCATTATTAAAAATATTAGATATAGATTTACTTTGTAGAATTTATTGGTGATAAAACAAAAATATTTCAAATAAAGTATCTAAGGAGAAAGAATGAGAGTTAACACCTTAATGAGATGAAATTTAATGAAGTGGAAAGTTACTTTAAATTACAATTTTTTTAACTACATAGTTAAAGAGGGATTAAATTCATACATAGTTTTTTTTCGTTAAGAAAAGTCCACAAAGCTCATTTATGTAGTGTGTCTTAAATATAAGATTTAATAAAAGGAAATAAGACTTAATGATGAGGAATGTAATGAATTTAATAAAAGTAATAGTTCAAATTATGTTTTTGGCTCTCATAAATACAGGGAGGCCAAATTCAAAAAGTAAGGGTATTTTAGTCAAAAGATTCTAGAATCTAGAACTCGTATAGATTAATAACAATTGTAATGGTAAGATAAATATTATTAATTAGCTATATATAAGACAAATAATTAAAAAAGCATTATATAAATTAATGCACGTGTGAAGTATTGGATAAGGAGAGGGGCACATGTGGCATGATATAATGGTGTGGCCAATATTTTGGGGCGAGGTGAAGGGCACATATGGCATGATTGTACCATGAGATAATGGTATGACCAATATTTTGGGGCGAGTGTGGTATAGTTTGAAAACCCATTATCTTTCTTTTCTTTTTTTCTTTTTTTGAGAGAGAGAGGATTCAAATTTCAAAAGATCGAGATGGATTATGAAAGGTGCCCAACTCTCTACCTTTCACGCACGAGATAGATAGTGAGATGTAAACGTGCACACATTTACATCTAATTCCAAGAATAGAAACTGGATGGTATATATCTCTTTCTCAATGCCAAGAATAGAAACTTTCAGCCTTCTGGGTCTGGGGTCCCTTCGTAGACCGTGGTCCGGACTCCGGACTTCTTCATACACAGCTCTCTCTCCTTTTCTTTTCCATAGAAATATGGAATACCGGAAAGCATATATATCTCTTCAGTTCACAGAATATGGATCCCCGCAATCAGGAAGAAAATGGACGAGATACCCAGATGTGACTTGTGATTCGAGAGTCCACATCACTTTTCCCTCGCCCTGCTGTAATGTCCGGCCGGTTGGTGATGAAAATCATCGATGGGGCCAAAACGTTTCAATTCCCAACATAACAAATATAACATATTTCTATTGGCAACTCTAAATATGTTGTCCTACCTAGCTTATCCATTTATGAACGGGGACAGAAGCTAATCCATTGTGCATGTCATCGGGTTAGATCAGTCGAAGAAACCAGTGGGGGTGGGGTTACGACTCAAGTATAGGTTCATTGATGATTTATTAAGGTAATTGGCACTGGATTATGACCTCGTTATGTATATACTCCGGACTCTTCTCTAAATGATCATGCCAATGATGTTGATGCTAGGCAACGGTTGAACCTTGAATACACTCGAGTGCTGGGATACGAGATATCTCGATCAGCTTAGACTTGGGATTGGTGAAATGATGCGGAGACATCACTATTGCCAATCCACATGCAAATTAAAGCCTCTCTCTCATGCACAAATTAAGTGCAATGCCAATCCATGCACCATCGGTATCCCCATGAAGAACCTTGATAGAAATGTATAGTCTTTGGAGTGCCAAGGGTAGATAACTAAGGCTGCATTTGGTAGAGGTGTAAATTTTACACTCTGGTTGGATTTTCTAGGCATTTGGTAGAGATGTTAACATACCTCATCAATGGGTGTAAAAGTCAATTCTTGCCAGTATATTCATATAAAATCGATGTAAAATTTTACCTTCATCTTCCTTTGTCCAACGGTTACCTCGCGTCTCCTCTGTCCAACGGATGCATCTCTTTGTTCGACCAAAGAAGAGAGTGAACCGATGATGGCGACGGTGTATTAGAGTTCTGTCCAGAGAGTGAACCAGCTCCGGCGTATTAGTGAGTGGTGGTGCATCAGAGTTCCAGTGGCAGAAAGCGACGTATCAATGCAAATCTTGCTGGTGTACGCATTGAAGCACTATGTAAGATTCACTACGCAACGGTAACATTCACTGCGTAAGCATTGCTTGTTCACCTTTTTCCGCCGATACCTAGTTTGTTCACCTTTAATCAAATAGCTTTTTAATTTACACCTTAGAAAACCAAACATGATCGGTATAAATTTTCAAAATCAACCGGTCCCAATTTCCATCGATCACTAAACCGGTTCACATTTTCCCATTGTGTAAAATTTGAATTTACACCTCAAACAAATACAGCCTAAGGAGGTCAACCACCCCCCCTCAAAGAAGACATTAAGCTTTTGAGATTTTGACCGAAGATGATAACATTAGGGTGGTGAAAAATCATATTATAATACCATTCAACCTAGTCCACTTAAGAAAAAAAATCGGGTATTTAGTAATTCACCAGTCACCACAAGGCGGTTTGATCTTTGACCGGTGCTTGGTTGTGGCGACCAAAACCCTAGTTTCCATCCATCCATACATGCTTGTTTAGTGCAAGACTCCGGCGTTTCAGTTCAGTGGCCCACACTCAAAAATCATGAAAGAAATTGAGGAAAGTACGTGCCCTATCCCTATGCAGACTATGCCCAACCATACGGATCAATTTATGTCAAACTATATAAGGTAATGAATCTATGGGATGATTTCCATATGGCCATGCTAGAAACCCTAATACCAGAAATGATGGTGTCATCATGGGGAGATGTTCTCAATACATGATGGGGATGTGCTGTGGGATGTTGTGGGGGACTGATTTGAATTTAAAATCTACACTCCACATTAGTTAATGGCCATGTCAGACACAAGATATTCTCCTCATAGGCATATCCTACAACATCTCCTATAAATAATAAGTTAATAACTCATTAGACTCAGTTTGGAAGGAGTACAAATACAAATTTATAGAATACAAAACCTTGTATTTTGTATGTATTTATACAGTACATAATTTGTATTTGTACTCCTTCCAAACTGAGCCTTAAGTAAGGGAAATGTTCCGGTCACAAGAATGCCCCCCACAACATTCCACAGCACATCCCCACCGTGTATTAAAAACATCTCCCGATAATAAGGGGCTGATTCGGTCTCGTGCCCAATATATTGATGGAATGTGGCTGTAAGGTCGGTGTGAAGTGCGCTACGTGAGGAGCAGATCCCACTGGCCAAAATCTCTTCTTCATAAAAAATTCAGACATCAGACATGCATGCAATAGTATCTGCCTTTCATAAAACATACAATAAAATTCATAATGGAGTGGGGCCAGAGGAGATCGAATTTTATTTATTATGAAAATCAAGCTAGATCTGGATTTAATAAATTTGAATGTTTATTTTCGGTTACAGGCCTCGCTAGCTTTTATATGTATAGGTAAGCAACAAAAAAATTATTGAGATGGAGACTAAAGAGACAATCCTATAAATATCTCACACAATTAACATATGCTTCTTCTCCTGATAGCTACTGGGGCTAACAATTTTGACCCCAACCCAACTCATGTGAACCCACCCATTCCACTATCCACTTGAGGGTCATATGGGTCGAGTGACCCATTAGGGTCATCGTCTTCTCTGAAGATAGGGGTGATAATGGAGCTATCAATGAAAGCGGCTATGTCCAGCCTACCGACGAACAGACAACAACCGGCCCTTCCGTTCTATCTGTATCATCTTCTTCCCTGATTCAATGGATCTCTCTCTCTCTCTCTACCCCCTCTCTCCGCCTTTTCCTCACGCAATAGATCTCCACCTCCGCCCAAAGGACAACAGACTTCAATGTTCCACTCAATGACTGCACATGGTTAATTATGATTTTTCGAAGTTACTACCTACTAGACTATGTAGTTTCTAGAATTTCGAAACCAGAAACAAGAAGGGAAAAGTGCGTAGGGAGGGACGATGGAAAGGAACTGATGTGATAAGGCGAAACTGAGTCTAGTTCAGAGAATATGAGAAGAAAACCCAAGCCGAAGGAATGCTCCCGCCGGGAACATACTGTGGTTTTCATTCAACGAAGCTCTTTCTGGATTTTCACTTAACGAAGGATCATCATGTGAGAAGAAACGATTTTTCTTTTTCTTTTTGTGTTTTTATATATTTTGTTGTCTTTTCTGCATTTTATATTTTATTCTGCAATTTTTGTTGTTTTACATTAAATATATATTTTCTACCATTTTTGTGTTTTCATGCATTTTTTATTTTTACTTTTTGAAAAGAAGTAAAATATTTTATGTTTTTAGTGGAAATATATTGTTCTATATTTTTATGCAAGTAGAATAAGAAAAAAAAAAATCTAATTTGAAGTAAAGGGTCAAATGGATGGGTTAAGGTGGGTCAGGATCAGAGGGGTCACAACTCACAACCCACTTTGGCCCACTAACATGGGTGACAAATGGGTTAATGTGTCAATATAGGTGGGTTGATATTCAACCCACATCCACACTCAACCAACCCAGTACACCCATTTGCCACCCCTAAGCTACCTTACATGTTCCAACCTTTATATAAACCTTAGTAGGCTTTTGTTACGTTCACGGCATTCACTACACTCCATCTTCCCTCCCTCTTCCCTCTTCTCTATATTTTTCGGGTAAGGGAGCTCAGCCCCCTTTCTCCCCTAACCTCACTCCCATCTCTCTCTCTCTCTCTCTCTCTCTCTCTCTATCGAAAATTCGAAACAAATAGAAAAGATGTTGGCAGAAGATCAAACCCAAAAGAAGCCTACACTGCCAGAGGTACAAGACCTTAAACTCCAGGAGGCAGGAGTACTCTCTTGTCTCTTCACCAGCAATTTAACGTTAACGTAATAATCTTTCTATTCTGACATATATTATATGATGTGTGGTTGGTACTTGGTAGGTTTTGGAAGAGTTGAAGAGCATTAAGGACATAGCCTTTCCAATAGCTGCCATGAGCTTGGTGGGATACCTGAGGAACATGATCTCAGTTGTGTGCATGGGGAGGCTTGGCGCTCTGGAACTAGCTGGAGGTGCGCTGGCCATCGGTTTCACCAACATCACCGGATACTCCATCCTCTCAGGCCTTGCAATGGGGATGGAGCCCATCTGCAGCCAGGCGTTCGGCTCCCGCAACCTCTCCCTCATAGCTCTAACACTGCTAAGAACCATTCTCATGCTGCTTGTTGCCTCTATCCCTATCGGTCTGCTATGGGTTAACCTTGAAGCTATAATGCTTAGGCTTCATCAGGACCCAGATATCATACAAGTTGCTAGCCTCTACTGCCACTTTGCCCTTCCAGACCTTATCCTCAATAGCTTTCTTCACCCTCTGAGGATCTACTTACGTAGTAAAGGCACAACATGGCCATTAATGTGGTGCGCTTTACCTGCTATCCTTCTGCACCTACCCATCACCATGTTCTTGGCCTTCACCCTTCGTCTCGGGGTGGCTGGCATCGCGGGTGCAACAGTCATCACCAACTTCAACGCCCTTGTCTTCCTAGTAAGCTATATACTCTGTACTCGCACCTCTGGCTCTATCAAGGAACCCATTATGTACACGCCACTGTTTCAGCCTCCTCCTCCTCCTCCTCCAAAAAGCTCACTACAGGGAGCTGTGGGAGGGGAATGGGGGAAGTTGATTCGACTCTCTCTGCCCAGTTGTCTAGCTGTTTGTCTGGAATGGTGGTGGTATGAGTTGATGACCATCCTCGCCGGTTATCTTTATAACCCTCGAGTAACCCTAGCAACATCGGCTATTGTCATACAGACCACATCTCTCATGTACACGCTGCCTACAGCGCTCAGTGCCTCGGCATCAACGCGTGTAGGTAATGAGCTCGGGGCGGGCAGGGCGAGTAAGGCTCGACTGGCAACCATGGTATCCATGGGACTAGCTGTTGTATTCTCCACAGTGAGCTTTGTATGGTGCTCCGTAGGGAGAGAGGCCTGGGGAAGAGTCTTCACCCAGGATGGCAAGGTTCTGGAGCTAACAGTGGTGGTGCTACCTATTATCGGTTTATGTGAACTGGGGAATTGCCCACAGACAACTGGTTGCGGCGTCCTCCGAGGCAGCGCTAGGCCCATCATCGGTGCTGCAATCAACTTCTACGCCTTTTACTTGGTGGGCTTGCCCGTGGCCATGGTGTTTGGCTTTGTCTTGGAAATTGGCTTTGTGGGACTCTGTTATGGCCTTCTAGCCGCTCAATTTGCTTGTGCCTTGTCAATCGTAGCTGTGATTTGCAAGACGGATTGGGACAGAGAGTCATCCAAGGCCAGAGACTTGGTTGGAATGGATGCTGCATGCGCACAGCAAGACCCAACAGCAAAATCCCAAGATGAAGTGGAGTTTCTTAAAATAGAGTGTGAAACGTGGATGCAAATCGCAAGGGATGATGCAACATTCATACACATCAGCGCGTCCCCACATGCACATCTCAGCGTACATTGAGAACATCTCCCAATCCCCATTGGAGATGATGTTCCCAATACACGGTTTGTTTGGGATGTACTGTGAGGCGCGCAGATGTGAATAATTCGTCCTATTTTCACTCTTCATCTCTAACCCATCCTCTCTCCCATTCCCAAAAACAACGAAAACAGTTTAATTAAAAGAATCCAATCCCATCAATTCCAAAGAAAGTCAGAGATCCATGCTCATTAACAGCGAGACGTTTTTATTTTTAATTGGGTTTCTAATCTTTGTCTGATTGGATTTCTAGGCTGTTATATAATCTTGTTTGGAATGTAACCTAAAGATAGACAGTTGTTATACATTGGTTCATTGCATAAATACTTTGAATGTAGATATGGATAATCGTTCATTGAATTCATTGGATTTCTAGGCTGTCATATACATTGATTCAACCAAAGCAACCAGAACACTTGCAATACAGATATCTACATTGGGCAAGTGTTCATTCTACTTTTAATACTGGCATGTTTCAACAATGTAAGTTAAATGGATTATTTGAATCTGATTTCCCCTCTTTTGGCCCCCTATTGATTTTGACAAATGATTATTACGAGTTTATTAAGACAAATAGTTATTTTAAGACTCCTCAATCTGTTGTGACTTGGATAGACTTTGTAGATCACTTATATAATCACAACAGATTTTGGTGGAAGGAAGATAGGACGAGGAAGAGATGAAGAGTGCAAATATGATGAGAACAAAAAAAAAGTACAGCTCTRGGATTCTTGGGCCTACAAATTAATTAAAAGATAAATAACAAAGAACACCACCAGTGCAAAGAACAGGTGGCGATCAATCGTTGGGTCTACAAAAAAGTCGTTATCTGTAGGTTGTATATGTTGTATCATCATCTTTTTATAGAACCATAACCCATACAAATTAACCTGATATATGATATCCAGCCATTTGTTTTTTATGTTTTTGCCTTTTGTTTTACCATGGGAACGGGTATGGAAGCCTACTATAATGACATAACGCTCAAGACCAACCCAGGAAACATCGATCGACCCCAAGGATCGGCCAAATATCCTGTCAACCAGCTGCAAAACACCAAAACGCATTATGTACTATGACTATGTAGTGAGATTTTCTCTGTGCCCTTCTAAAGTCAAATATGAGTTGGTGGTCGTTCATATCTCTCTCTCTCTCTCGGCATTTCTTTTGAAGATGCGTGATGAAACACTTAGGAGTGGAATATTGCTAAAATCCACATTGATATGGGCTGCCTTTATAAGATGTCTTGTCGGTTTGTCTTTTTACAGATAACAGAAATGGCATAACCACAACGTGGAAAAAATAGATGGCAAGTAAACGTGAATGGACTCAAGCACAGACCATAGCCTCTCACATGTTCTCATTGTCAGCCTTGCACTGGGATATCTCCGCATAAAAAAAAAAAAAAAAAAGGCTGTGAGAATGGTGTGAACAGTCTTGTGAACACTGAAGCCGATCTCGTGTCTGTATATGTTGCGTCTTCCTTTCTTCACCGCCAAAAGGTCAATAACTTATCAGAACCCATTATCCGTATGGGCCTCTAGGCTCTAATGGTGACTTTACTAAATGATAATTATTTTACAACCAGACGTACTTAACAAAATCAAATGAAGTTCAAATAAATAATAGATAGGAACGGAGAAACAGTCCAGTGTTTAATTGGTCATTCTGGTAGACATCCATTCTTACTATTGATCCACGATTCGTGTGTATTTGGGTGTAGTAGATCTAGGCCCAATCAGTTTTACGCTACTACCTAGTGATCAATTATTATGGACTAGTTCTATACCTTCACCAGAATACGCATTTGAATAAAGTGACCAATACATTAAAACAAGAGCAACCAAGTAGGCTAAAGGCACAACCTGTATGATTGGGTATTGACTTTCTCCAAGAGGTTTTTAGTTTTCACTGCTCAAGCAGCCTCGCATGAAGTTGTACAATAAATAATGCTCAAAATTATGGTCGCACTGAGGCCCTCTTATCCTTGGGCGTTAACTCATTTTCTCTCAAATATACAGTTTCAGTAGTTGAGGTATCAACGGGACGACAACGGACAACCCAGTAACAAGGATCAAAATACTGCAACATAAATCCTAGTAGATAAAACCAGCAGTAATGCTAAACTAGCATGTGAACATAGAAAGATGGGAGACTTTGGAATGGAACAGAAAAGACACCTAAGCATGATCAGAAACAGACTCGAATAGAATTATGATAGAATCTCAAGAGGTTGTCAAGCTGCATGCCCCAGCCACGCAAGCATGAAGAAACCCCCTATAGCAAATAGCAATCTGAACTTTGGTAGTGTTACAGAAACATGAGTTGCAGCTAGAGCATCATGATCAGAAACAGACTCGAATAGATTTATGGCTGAATCTCAAGAGGTTGTCAACCTGCAACAGTGTTACAGAAACAAGAGTTGCAGCTAGAGCCCCAGCCACGCCTAGAAAATGTTAGCTACAGGTCACAATCTATCTCAACCGAAATGCTAGATTATGAGCTGAGTCGAGTCCCTCCATATTTTCACCGTCTCTGCGCTCTAAATACTGTCTTGTATAGTTGTATAGAATATCCATCAATCCATGAAACTTCATCTCAATGATGAGGTTGTACTTACAAAACTATCAAATGTATACAGAAGAAAATAGTAACTCAAAACAAACTTATCTCAACCTTTTCTTCTACTGTTTCTCATAAAAAAAAAAAAAGTCAAAAATCAATATGGATGTTCCATCATCCACGTTCTAGGTAATAAAGATGCTTTTGGTACTTGTTTAACACGCCAGCCCACCATTGAGTAAATAACGATCATACCACATACACAAATACTTGGATTCTTACATTGGTGGAAGTGATAAATTAATGCATCTTCACTCCAGTCGTTCCATCTGCAAATGCAACAGAAGAAAGCATGACTTGTACATCTAAATATCTAATTGCTTCAATGCACTGACATGGTAACTTCAGCTTTTTATCCTTCTGTATTTCTAATTAAGAAATTAAACTGAAAATGTCAAAATTTGACTTTAATATTAATGGTAGAAAATTCAGTGAAGGGGCAGTTACATGAGGATGAACTGTTCTCAGATCAGGTTTGATCCACTAAAAAATACCAACAGCATACCTAGTGTCATTATATTGTCATAAAAACCTCATCTAACACCAGTCTACTGGTGAAAAATTCCCCCTCATGTGGGGTTTCTCGTTAGATGAATCAAATTAATCCTCAGAAATCAAATTGATTTAATATTAATGGTACAACTGAACTTGCATTTACTAGGCTCAGTATGGAAAGAGTGCAAATACAAGGTTTAGAAAAGTAGTCGATCAAGACTACAATCAGTCTTGAATTCAAAAGAAAAAGAATGAATAAATTTCAGAAGAGAAGAAGAAGAGAAGGAGAAAAGAGAAGAAGCACATGAAGAGATTTTGAAAAGAGAGAGGGTTGATCTATTTCATCTGCCAACCCACTCTTAATATTTATATATGTTAACTAATTGTAAAAGGGCTGAATTGCCCTTATTGCTTACATGGCAATAAACTAATAATAAAATTGAAATAACAAGTTGAAATAACAAACTGAAATAACTACCAACTAACACTGACAAAACTAACGAAAATATGTTGCCATACGAACACAGTGGGGATCACAGCAGTGGGGTCCACATCAGTGTTCTCTACACTCCACCTCAAGTTGGGAATAGATATTTGTCATTCCCAACTTGCATAGGTCTGCCTCTAACTTCTTCCTTGGAACAGCCTTGGTGAGAAGATTTGCGAGCTGCATGTCGGAGGTGATATACGGGAGACTTCTTGAGATGAAACCCTTTCTCTGACAAAATGCCAGTCTACTTCAATATGCTTAGTTCTATCATGTTGTACCGGATTATGAACTATATTAATAGCAGCCTGATTATCATAATACAACATTAAGGACTTCTCATAAGCAATACCCAACTCCTCAAATAATGACTTCAGCCATAGGATTTCAGCCACACCATTAGCCATAGATCTATATTCAGCTTCAACACTAGAACGAGAAACAACACTTTGTTTCTTATTCCTCCAGGAGACAAAGTTACCTCTACAAAGGCACAATATCTAGACAAAGTTACCTCTATCATCAACACTCTCAGCCTAATCAGCATCTGTATAAACCTCTATCTTCATGTGATCATTATTCTTGAATAATATACCTCTACTTGGACATCTCTTCAAGTATGCTAGTATCCTCTCAACTGCAAGGAGGTGAGTAGTTCTAGGAGAGTACATATATTAACTGAAAACGCTGACTACATAACTGATGTCCAGTCATGTGAGACAAAGATAGAGGAGTTTTCCTCCAACTAACCGTTGGAACATAGCTTTTTCTTCCAATAGATCTAGAACATACTTTCTTTGAGAAACAAAAATCCCATGTTTAGGTCTAGCTACCTCAATACCCAAGTAGTCTATACCATAAATCTGAGTAAATCCCTTTGCAACTAACCAGGCCTTATGCCTTTCAATAGAACCATCAGCATTATGTTTCATAGTAAATACCCATCTACATCCAACCAGTTTCTTCCCTTTAAGCTGGTCAACTAGCTCTCAAGTATTATTCCTCAGAAGACCATCCATTTCAACCTTCATTGCATCTTTCCACTCAGGAACTGACAAGGCTTCCTGCACTGTTTTGGGGATAGGAATATCAGCAATGGATGTGAGAAAGGACCTGTAAGAGGGGGACAGGCGATCATAGGATAGGAACTGGGAAATATAGTGAGTTGTGGATGTGGTGCAATGTCGTTTGCCTTTACGGACTACAATGGGGAGGTCAAGGTCATCCAAAGGAGGCAAGGGTGCAACAGTGGAAGGTATCTCAGTGGGACCTAGATCTGATAAAGGGACTGTGGTACCTGGATCTGGATCCGCAAAAGGAACTAAGACTGGCCTGGACTGCTAATGACCGAAATCAACTTGCCTCCACCGCCTGTGATAGACTCTCAAATCCTAACACCTCTAACAACCCTCCCCCTTACATCCCTCATCACTCAATGGAACAGGTAAAGGAACTTCTAATGAGTTAACCACACTCTCACTCCCACTCTCACTACTCTCCCCATGAGGAGAAACCCTAGGGTAATAGGGTACCTCCTCAAAGAAAGTAACATCCATCGAGACAAATCTCCTCCTAGAAGTAGGTCCATAGCAGCAATAACCCTTTTGAGTTTGTGCATAACCGAGAAAAATACATATGGAGGCCTTAGGATCAAATTTGGAACGATGAGGTCCAAGAAACTGAACAAAGCAAGTGCAACCAAAGGTTTTAAGGGGAACAGTAAACAATTCTTTATCGGGGTATAGAAGGGTAAATGGAGACTTCATGTCAAAAACCCGTGAAGGAACTCGATTAATGAGATATACTATTGTAAGAATAGCATCTCCCCATAAACAAATAGGTACATTGGAGTTAAACATAAAGCTTCTAGCCACCTCCAATATGTGCCTATTCTTCCTCTCAGCAACTCCATTCTGTTGTGGTGTATAAGGACAAGTACTCTAGTGAATAATCCCATGATCAAGCAAATAAGAGGCTAATGAGTTGGTAAAGTATTCTTTCGCATTATCGGATCTGAAGATTTTGATTTTGACCCCCAGACTGGGTTAAAATCATCTGATGAAAGATCTGGGTCAAAGCAAGAACCTCATCTCAAAAACGCATAAGGTAAACCCAAGAAAAACGGGTATAGTCATCAGCATACAACAAGAAATATCTGTATCCCCCCATAGCAGTGATGTGATACGGTCTCCAAACATCGGTATGCACAATATCAAAAGAATTACTACTTTTATTACTCAATGAATAAGATGTTCTACAATGCTTTGCAAGCTCACAACTCTAACATCTCAAATTGGATATCTAAACAGACTCAAACAAATTTGGAAACAAACTCTTCAAAGACCGAAAGGATAAATGACGGCATAACCTGACTAACAGATTGAGAAACAAAAGACTTCCTATCTTCACGATCTTCCCAATGAGAACTCTCTCCAAGCAGATAGATCCCATTCGTCTCATGGACAGTCCCAATCACCTTCCTTGTCTCCAAGTCTTGAAAAACACATCGGTCAGGGAAAAAAGTTACTGAACAATTCTGATGTTGTGTAATACTACTGACTGAAAGCAAGTTAGTATTAAGCTTAGGAACATGCAGAACTGAAAATAAGGAAATGGTATTAGACAACTTGATGTCTCCCTTGCCAGAAATGGGAACAAGGGAACCATCAGCAATGGACACTTTATCTCTACCAAAAGATAAGTGATAGATAGTGAACAGTGATAGCAAGCTAGTCATATGGTCAGATGCACCTAAGTCTATTACCAAACAATGTTCAGTGTTACCTGGAGCTGATGCATGATAAGCTGAGGCCCGAGTACCTGAATGAGCAAAGGCTGATGTGGGAGGAGCTGATGGTGGCTGAGATGATTGAGCTGAATTCCCAACTTCCTTTTCCAACTGAGTCAAGGCAGCCCGGACAGCAACTAGGGTGTCTAGAGGCATGCCTTTTGTGCCCGATGAGGATGCAGAATCAGTATTAACAGCCATATTAGCATTACCCCTTTTGTTCCTCAGTTTTGCTGGAACTAGATGAGGGTGCATCTTCCAACATGTGTCTTTAGTAATTAAGTTTCTTGCAATGTTCACACACTAGATCCCGCTTATCTTCCTTCTTTATATCCCTCTTCGTATCACCCCCAGACTTAGGTTTAACTGCTGCCAAGGCTGGTGGGAAGGGCTGATGCTGCATCATAACCTTTCTCCTAGTCTCTTCACTATGCACTAAGGAGTAGGCTTGAGATAAGGTCACACTGTCCCTTGTTAGTATTTGTTGTCTCACGATATCATAGTCACGATTCAGACCAACTAGGAATTCAAAAACCCTACTAGTTTCAACTTGCTTTCTATGAGTCTGTGCATCCTTCTGACTTTCCCACTCAAGTGTTTCTAGGTGGTCAATTTCATGCCACAGAGATTTCAAGGTAGAGAAGTAAATCGATACCGGTTTCTCTCCTTGCTTAAGGTTGTTAACCTCACACTTCAATTCATAAGCCCTAGCAACATTAAGGGGTAGGGAGTAAGCCTCTTTCATGACATCCCAGATTTCCTTGGTTGTTTTTGCCCACAAATAGTTCCGGTTGATATGTGACTGCATAGAGTTGCACAGCCATGTCATAACCAAATAGTTCTTCTGAACCCATTTGGTATAAGTTTGGTCCTCCTTAGTTGGTTCTTTCATATCTCCCAACAAGTAGCCGAGTTTTCCTCTACCCCCAATGGCCATTATGGCCGATTGAGCCCATTCTAAATAGTTTGATCCATCAAACTTCACAGTTGTAATTTGAAAGGCATTCTCAAACATGTTACCAGAATTGCTAGTCCCAAAAACACCTTCCCTCTGATTCTTGAACTCCATTCTTGGTCAAGAATTAATAATAAAAAAACTTTTTAAACTACTGTAATAGAAAAACAGCACTCAAACAACTGATAACAACCGACCTAGGTCTTCCAAAGAACAAAGAAAACAGAATTCTGTATGAAATCAGTTCAAAATCTGATCTGATCTGATCTGAAAATCTCTGGCCGCCACCTTCTATCTGATGCAAAACCCTAATCTTGAGAATCCGAAGCCTTTTCTGATTCTTCCTGACTACTGGAACTCTCTCATCCTTCCACAATCTTCTTAGTAGCAGCCGCACACTACCAGTAACCTCCAAGAATCAACCGATCCTCCTTCTTTGTTGAAAAACTTCTAAACCTAGGAGATTCTCATGTAGTCAATCTAATTAGACTAACATAAGAGCTCCTAGGTCGGCTCTAATACCAAGTAGTCGATCAAGACTACAATCAGTCTTGAATTCAAAAGAAAAAGAATGAAGAAATTTCAGAAGAGAAGAAGAGAAGAAGAAAAGGAGAGAAGAGAAGAAACACACGAAGAGATTTTGAAAAGAGAGAGGGTTGATCTATTTCATCTGCCGATCCACTCTTAATATTTATATAATGTTGACTAATTGTAAAAGGGCTGAATTGCCCTTATTGCTTACATGGCAAATAAACTAATAATAAAGCTGAAATAACTACCAACTAACACTGACATAACTAACAAAAATATGCTGCCATACGAACATAGTGGGGTCCACATCAGTGTTCTCTACAAGAAATACCATATACAAAGGTTTCACACTGTACATAATTTCTCAACAAGGGGAATACTAGAATTTACCACGATAAAAGGGTTTAAATCAGTATATCTTTCGAAGGGCTACACAACAAGGGGTAGCCCATCCCCCAACCCAGGTGCAGGTGGGATTCGATCCCAAGTCTACACTACGACCAGCAGGAGACCTTACCAATCAGATGGTTTAAATCAGAGATTTTCCTACATTTAGGATGTGACAACAGAAGGGACTATTGCTACTCTCCTTTCTGTTCCAACCATTCCCTTCCAATTTATTCAGTCCTTGCTTGATTAAAACATCCCCAGCCAAATCTCCTTCAATTGATAGGGTAAAATATAAAAACCTCCCCTAAGGTTTCTGACAATCATAAAAACCTCCCCTATAGTTTTGAAAAAACCTACACTTTTTTTTTGATAAATGAAAAAACCTGCACTTACCTCCCTTCCATTATTGCCTCTGTTGATTACCAAGAAAAAAAAAAACATTATTGTCTCCATTATAGACTTTGAAGCTACAAAGTTGCCCTTATTACTTGTTAGGGAATCTTTCAATATAATCAAAATTCCAGATTTGCCCTTTTAGACTTCACTCGATCATAACGAGTCTATAAAATTAAATTATTTTACTCTTTTTAATCTGACTTGGGAATTTTACTGGATGGGACAATGATGGAAGGGAGGTAACTGCAGGATTTCCTAAAAAACATATCCTTTCAATAGATCCATTCAGGTTACAATTTCCTAAAAAACACAACATTGTCTGTGTGTGTATCTTTGCAGTATTTTCCTTATACCCTAAATACCCTTCCCAAACCAACCAAAGCACTTCACAAAAGGCTGATTTTCTATTGTGGTTTGGGGGCTGCAACCCAAGAGATTAAAAGTAGCTGCCCTAGGTGTCTTTACATGGACAGGGAAGGCAAATCTGGTGACTTCTGGTGGAGTTGCACAAGTGCTCTTGGAAAGAGATTGAATTTAATGCTTCATTTGCTAATACATGAGCTGAGACAACTTGATTTTCTAGGAATATAATGAAAGATATCAAATCAAATCCACACATAGTGCAAGCACCCATCCTCTTCAAATTCCCAGGTGTTGGACGAGTTGGCTTTTCTAGGAGCCATATAATGTTTAGTGCATCCCAAAATGGCAATATGCTGTACCTTGGGATCTAGTGCCAAATCAAGAGCTTTTCTTAGCTCAACACTTCCGCCAGTTCAAAAAAGCATTTCTGCAACTCCACTGCAAAAGTCACCACAGACTTGCCTCCCATATCCATGTGAAGAGCCGAAGACACCTAAAAGTAGCTTTGATGTCTTGGATTGCAGCTCCATTGAACCACAATACAAAATCAGCCTTCTGTGCAGTGTTTTGGTCAGTTTCAGTAAAGGATATTTTGGGTATAAGAATGAAATTGTGTTTTCAGGTATTTGTAACATGAATGGTCCATTTAAGTGATACATTTTGACATTAAGGACTTGTAAATTAAAGGAGACTTGGCTGGGGGTGTTTTGGTCAAGTGAAAACAGAATCACTTGGCAGCAAGTAGCCTGAGCAAAAGGGGAAGTAGAAATAGTGCCTCCCCAAAATTTAAATCAAAATACTGATCATGAAGCATATGATAATATGCCTAACGTGATATTTGAGAATATATTACATGAATCACAACTTCCCATACTAATTCTGTAGTAATATGATCTAGTCCAACAAAAATTGGAAAACCCCTTTCTCTGTTCGCAATTCAGAGCAGCAAAGCAGCTAATGACCCAATTGCTAATGCTCGCCTATACCATGACTTACATCATATGACAAGTTTTGCTTTACCTTAAGGAAAACCACATTGTCCAAAATATGAAAGGGGAAGAGCTCAGCCAAGGGTATTTTGTTTTGCCAATAACATGATTTATTCACATAAAACTATTTCCAAGGATATGTTGCAGTATGATTTAATATCAACCTATCTAAAAATCTTTAGCTATTTCCATCTGGTTACTTTAATACATCAAGCTAAATTGAACTTTGACTCTCAAATATGATTATAGTCATTTCAGTTATCCTACTGCAATATCCTGTGAACACATTTTAAAAGTGACATACTAAGACCTAGGAAATGCTCATGGACAAAGACACATGCAAGAGATATTTGCCATGAGTTACCTTCCAAAGACCATCATTGAGATAATGCATGTTGTCCACACCAATTCCTTTGTTGATTGCTCTTCTGCACAACAAACAAACAAACAATTCCATTTCTTCCACATGGAAATCAAAAAGAGAGAGAACTTCCAAATTACAAAGCAAAAATTCTCATCTATTTGGGAACAAGAAGAGAATACATTTTCTTCTAGATCCTCTTCTCTAATTCTACAACCAATACCAAGAATATCATTCACAAGAAGGAAGATGAAAGAGCACAGAAATGATTTCTTAAGTAAGTTCATCTGGCACAATAACAAGGATTGTCATAGAAACTGGTCAATACAAGAACATAGTCATCTAGCACATATGAATGATGAGAATATATCTCAACCTTAATAATAAAAAATAGGCTTTTACATGCTGTTCCTAATTGTAAATATTTGTATAAGGGGGAGAGGTTGTTGGTTTTTGTTGCAGTGGCTCCATTCCCACTTCTTGTGGTTTTCTGTAGCTTCTTTTCTCTTCTTTTTATCAGTGAAGACCTTTCTTCCTCTGATAGTTAAAGAAATCCACTAAAACAGGAAGTTCCTGTTCTTCTCTTACACAGTTTTTCCCCTGCAAGTTTTACTTTACATGATAGTAAAACCTAGTAGATCAGTACTGTCTAGAGATCTTTTTGTTTCACCAAAAATTCACATACATATTTTCTCAATCAGGAAGAGAAAGAAAATATCTAAGGGATTCCATCCTAACCAATTTCCCCCTACTTAAGTAGTGCAATCTCCACAAACTGGTTCTTCTCTCTTTTTATTCAAGTCATGAAGGTAGAATTCAAACTAAAAACAACCAACTGCATAGTAAATACAAGAACATAAAACTGCAATTTGAAATATTATTTATAGAAATAATGAAAATAAAATCAAAGTGATCTTTCAAAATAATACTTTTACATGGAAAGAGAAGCTACCATGTCTACAAAAGATGTGAGCTACTGAAAATACCAAAATTTGTTAAAAAATAAGGACATTTACAAACTTGCAAGCTAAGAAGGTAACTTACATGTCTTTTGCTGACATTTTTGTAAAGCCAATTGCAAGTGCATGTTTCTTTCCTTCAGCCATAATGGCCTGGACAAATAACATAATTTTAGAAATTAGCAAATCTGGGGACAACATCAACTTCAATTCCTTGGCAAGATTTCTCAAGAGAAATGAAGTGGCTAGAATAACTAACAGTACAATATGCTATAAAAATGGTGACATCAACATTTGATACCATACACAAGTATGGCTTAATGAACACATCCATTGTGCATAATTATTTGGTTTTCTTAAATTGTACAATGCAAAAGCAAGGTGCCAACCAGCAGGTTGGTAAGGCCTCCTGCTGGTCATAGCAGAGATTTGGGATAGAATCCCGCCTGCAACTGGGTTGGGGGATGGGCTACCCCCCCCCCCCCCAGTTGTGTAGCCCTTCAAAAGATATAAAAAAAAATGTACAATGCAAAAGCTCTTACCACGGGAGTTTCCGCTAGCGCGTCATCATCCAAAGCACCACCAGGAGATGTAAGGCCAGGACACATTATGTTTGCACCAGAAAGGACAAATTTAATTGCACCCCTATCTACTTGTAACTTTTTCATTATATCAGGATCTGAAAAACATAGAGAGCATAAAAACAAGGGGTGGCAGATATGAAGTATTTCTCAGTATTAACTGCACTGGTCATTAACCCAAAGATTAGCTTCCTGGTGTTCAATTTGGATAAATAGAATCTTGGCTAACTAGTTTTCCAGGAAAATCCTCAAATCTTCCAAGATTCTAGGAAATAAGTATTGTCCAACTAACCATATAAGATATCAAAATGGACATCACACTACAAGTTTTTCCCTCATACAGAAACATGAAAATCAAGCCACCAGTGTTCAAGTATGAACATATAATCTCAGTTAATCAAAGACATTCAATCATAGAGCATAAGACATGTTCCATATACAATACACAATGATACAAGTAAATAGTTAGTCAAAGGGACACATTACATTGATGAAGAAGCCGCAATGTTGGCATGTAAGGACCATCACGGACGTTGAAAAATAGTGGGACATTGTTCACCATAACCAGATTCAGATGATTTTGGCTAGAGAAATTTAAAATAGAAAATTGTAAGAGCCAAATCAATGTAAACGTACACAAGACATGAATACAGGGAATAAATTAAAGATATGATCCTTTAAGCAGAAAAATAATGTCTCTAGACTACAGCATTTGAACAATCAACCACAACAATGCCAAGGATGAACAGGGATCATGATTCTATAAAGGTCATCCGTGTTTTTCTTTTCAGACATTAGGCATTAGATTATATTTTATTCATTCAATAATCAACAGACTGGTAATACTAAGCCCATAAAGCTCAAAAGTTGGAAATTATAGAACCCATTAATTGATTCTAATCTGCATAATGCACCAGCACAGAACAGACAGAAAGATCATAGAATTTAAATAATCACAGTATCTAAGCAGTTAACGCATATATTTGGAGCTAATTCGAGCAGTGGAAGTTGGGTTAGATCAACTATTCTTCTTGCATCCAGTCACCAAGTCTAAGACATTCTAGAACATGAAAGTCAGTATTTAGTTTTTCATCATGCAACATAGAGAAAAGATAATGGAAGTTTGCAGTCTTTGCCTTGAAACAGTATCATTGCATGGGCATTGTGTCTAGCATGTTCATTTATTAAGCAACAAAAACTTAATTTTCAATTTTTCATGTAATAGTAGAAATGCCATTTTATTTCATAGTTAATATACAATCCCTGATCTCCATGGGTTTAGCTCTTCAAATTAATAAGGAAAGTTAAAAATTTAGAGATGTAGAACCAGACAACAACTAATACCATCAGTTCATGGAAGTACAAATGTAGAGATGTAGAGCTAGACAACAATTAATACCATCAGTTCATAATTTCAAAATTGGATCTTATGAAACTGATAAGTTAATAAGTAGAGCACTATTTGGCACTTCTACCATAGTTTTTAAAATCAGACGATTTAAGATTCAACAGAATTCTGAATCCTAATCCCAAGTGTTCCGATTCCAATCCTATCATTGAATAGGCAATGTCAGGCCTGGTCAATGATAAAGAAAGAAAAAAGTCAACCTACCAACACAATTGATATCCTGGTTAAGACATCTAGAAATTGCCTAGGCTAATGGGACCAATAGAAGCTTGGGGAAGTTCCAAATCACAGACCTGTTTTCTTTTTCTTTTTCTCTTTCCCGGTCTGCATTAATAACCCTCTAAAATAGACTTTAAAATATCATAAAAGAGCTCATAAAAGATCTCAATCATAAGAAAAAGAACACATAAGAGATATCCCAAAAGATAATGGTTACCCACAATCATTAGTTGACCATAACTTGCTCAAATTACACCAAATTTCACAATCCCATGATCATATATTTTAAAGATAATCAAATAACCTTAATGGCAATAAAATCAAGAATCCCAAGCAAAACATTGGCCACAAGTGAGAGGACCATAACTTCATGGGACAGTCTTAATCCCACCCTTTATAGCTCAATATAAACCAAATGTTCACTTGTGTTTTCTTCTGCAACTTTGTGCTTAGGTCAGTTCCTGTATGCCTAGGTCAGTTGTCAGTTACAAGTAAATTACATAATAAGCTTATAAACATATATAACAAGCATGTATGCAGTATGCATGTGTCTATCAAGAGAAAATAGGTAAGAAAATCCCTTTACTATAAAATACAAAAGTGAACAGATGCATTTAGACAAACTGAAGTATCAAGAAACAGAACAAAGAAATCTCTTGTGCAGTAGCAAAGAGGACAACAATTCAAACTATAAAAACCATGTCAAAAGCCATGTAGGGAAAGAAAAGGTGTGCCATCTCTATAGGGTCAACAACCAAGATATTAACAAAGATAAAAGTCAAGAAATTCCTATTTAGAACTAAGAAGAACGAAAATTAAAAGAGAAATGTCAATAAACCATTTGACAACAATGAGAGGTGATTTCTTTGGTAGCAAATCATCCAAAACTGGCTCCAGGCCTGGGTACTGCAAGATAAGAGGAAGTAATATTAACACATGAAGACTCCAGAAATCATGTTTTGACAGCTCCTATGTGCCTAATGTAGTAATGCCAAAGCAAGAAAAAGTGAACAGCCAGTTATAATCCAAACCTCATCTGCAATACTTTGTCGGATCTTGCGCTGCACAGATGCTTTCACTTGATTTTGTGAAGATACATCTTCAGAAGAGAACCTTGATAGAAAAAGGAAAAAGCTCATTGAAACCATAAGCAACCTTAAGAAAATTAAAAAAGAAATTTATTTATATAAACATAATAAAATAATATACAAAAGAAATAGAGGTTTGGGAGAACAACCCAAGAGGAAAAACATATAACATCCAAATACCATACAAACTGTTGAATTATGAAGGCAGAATTACATATCTATCATAATTTTCCTTGTAGAGGGGTGTTCATGTCCTTTTCCCTCTCATTAGATCAACCTAATAAAATAACATTCACTGGGAGTCATGGGAACTAACTGACAAGCCCATCCTTCTTCTACAGATGATGTCAGCAGCTAGACCAGGCAACCACCTTAGAACTCAGAAAAATTCATATATTCACAGAGGGAAAATTGGATATCTATCATCACGATCTTCTTGACCAGCTGGCATCATCAGGCCATATGGATGATGTCAGAAGGCATAACAGGCTACCATCTAAGAACTACAAAAAAAAAAAAAAAAAAATATTTGCAGAGGGCAGAATTACATATCTAGCATTATTTTCTTCTTCTCACATAAACCCACTCAAAAGCAACAACTTCAACTTGGTAATGGAGTATGATGATAGGGATCTAAAGGGGCCTTGCATCATCAATGATATGCTGTTATTATCAGGCCACATGGATGATGTTAGCAGCCATACCAGGTGACCATCTTGGAATTCAGAAAATTTCCACATACTGGTAGAGTTGAACCATAGAGTTCATTTTTATTGATCAGTAACCATAGAGTTCATTATGGAATTTCTTTTATAATTTTCAGGCATGTTCATTGAAGATTAATATCTTTGCGTTTTTGCTGCAAAAAATACGAAAAAAAAAAACAGTTTCAAGGATTCTTGGACCTAGCACTCTGTTGAAGATTAATCAGTTTTATGTTGTTTTTCTAAGTAGATGTTTTATGTTAGTTGTTAGATAGGTGGTGGGGACCACAGTAGTTATGTGAGTCCAAATTTTATTATGTTTTTGAGTCTTATATATGCAGTTTTATGTTTTGCCTCCCTATAAGGGCATAGTTGTCCTTATACTGCTCTATTATTTTTAGTATAAATAATAAGTGAAGGGGGCGGCCAGATTATTGCTCTCCTTTCTTCCAAGATCTCTTCTCTTCTTCTCCTTCTCTCTTCCTTCTCTCTTCAAGAAACCACTTTTCTGTTCATATTTTTTTGAGTTCAGCAGATTTCTACTTGGTATCAGAGCACCGGCTAGGGTTCTCGAAGTATTCTCATCATAGTTTTCAAGGCGCCAAGGCAAGGCTAGGCAACAGGGGGGTGCCTTGTCGCCTAGTCGCCTAGGCGATGGATTTTTTTTAAGTAAAACCCTAGATCCTAGGGTAGCTCCCTAGGTTCCATAACCATCTTTCCTTAATAATTATTCATAATTTTCATAAGTACAAATTTCATGTTTAAGTCTAGAAAATCAACATTTTATGAGAAGAAAAAGAAGTAAAGAAAATTCAAAAAATATAGGGGCTGAACCCCTACTTTTGTTATAGGAAAGAAGAAAACAAAAGGTGGAAGAAGAAGAAGAAAATGTGTTTGATTAGACAAAATTTTAAGTTCTTCTTGCTTATCGGTTCAGGTTTTGAAATTGTCGAGGGTTCAATCAAGGATCAAAATTTCGATATGATATGCCTTGTATCGGGTGTATTATGTTGTATCTTTGGGGTCCCGATACCCGTTTACAAGTGTTTTCGGGGACCCATTTTTTTAAATAATATATATTTAAAAATGAAATTGAAAACCAAAGAAATAAAAAAATAGGGAGAGTATCGTTATAAGTACCGATACACCTCTGCCAATACATTACTGTGAACCATGGGTTCAATACAGAAGTTAGCAATGTTTGCATTGATTAAACCCTAACAAAATAAGAAAATAATAAAAAGAAATTAGTAAATAAACACATAAAATGAATATTGTAGTTAATGTCTATCTTATAATTATAATGTCAAAAAATTAAAAATCTAAAAGTATTTTATAACCCAGTGCAAAAAACTACTAGGCAATTGGATGAGGCTAGCCTCCAAGGGCGCCTTGTCGCCTAGGCATCGCCTTGACAACTATGATTCTCATGCAGCCCTAGATCAGCCGACTGCATGAAGTAATGAAGGGTTGATCGATCTGCTATATACTGCCCAGTTCTTGGATTTTTTGGTGGGATCTAGTCATTAGGAAGGTGATCTACTTTTCGGCATCAAAATCAGGAAGAACTGGAGTACGGGGAAGAGCCCCAGAAAAGTTGGACTCTTTGTTTTTGATCTGATCTTGGGCGCCCAGGTATTGTTAGTTTTCTTTTGATATTCTGAAGAGGGCGGTTAAGTTTCTGGAATTTTTTGAGCCTCCTGGAGTGATCGATTCACTCCTCTCTGTTGGGAGGCGTGGGGAGGAGAGAGATTTCTCTCTAGATAGGGTTTTCTTCTTCCGAGAAGGTTGGTTTCTATGTGTGTGATATTAAATTGTTTTTGGAAGGTCTCCAATCTATTTTTTTCTTACTGTTGAACTGTTTGAAGTAAGATGGAGAGTTGGAATACTGAGGTGAAATCCACCAGTATTGTGGGACTAGGTGTTGGAGGTAGTAGTGATATTTTTTGGTCTAGAATCATTACTACAGTAAAACTTGATGGTACAAATTATTTAGAGTGGGCACAATCAGCCAAGATGGCTATTGGTGCCCGTGAAAAATTAGGGTACATCACTGGGTTAATACTGCTAAGGAGATTTGGGATGGAGAGACTAAAACCTACTCTCATAAGCAAAATGAAGCCAGAGCCTACCAGTTAAGGAATCAGGTGATAAGTATGAAACAGGGAGAAAAACCCCTTGCTGTGTATTTCTCCATGCCAATGTTTTAAAACATGGAGGCATGACACGAGGCGTTCCATTACCTAGAGGCATGAGGCGTAATTCAGAACGCAAGAGGCGTAAGCCTCCAAAACACAAGGAAGCGTAAGGCTTCTTAAGAGGAGGGGATCTCATTTTTTCTTTATTTTGTTTATCTTTTCTTCCCTTCCCTTTCCTTTTCTTTTCTTTCCTTTTCTCTTTTTTTCTTCTCTTTCTTTTTCTTTCCCTTCCCTTTCCTTTTCTTTTCTTTCCTTTTCTCTTTTTTTCTTCTCTTTCCTTTCCTTTTCTTTCCCTTTCTTTTCTTTTCCTTTCCTTTCCTTTCCTTTCCTTTTTTTCTTTTTTCTTTTTTTTCCTGTATTTTCATATCAGGTGTGCATGAGGTGCAAGAGGCATATGCCTCTAGCACGCCTCATGAAAAAAGCACAAGAGGCATATGCCTCTTGCACCTGAGGCGTACGCCTCAAAGGTATCAGTGCCTCTGGCATACGCCTTAGGGCATTTTGGGCACGCCTCCAGGCGTACGCCTCCAGGCGTACGCCTCCCATGCCTTTTAAAACACTGCTCCATGCTAAAAACCCTTTGGCAAGAAATAGATCACATAGAAACTGTGGTATGGGAAAGTGTAAATGATGCAGCGACCTATCACAGACTGGTAGAGAGGAATAGGGTTTTGAGTTCTTGACAGGGCTGAACCCTGAATTTGATATTGCTAGGAAGCATATTTTTTCTAGGGAGGGTGTGACACTCTCTCAAACCTATGCCTTTGTCTTTGGAGAGGAGAGTAGGAGGAATGTAATGCTAAGACAGCTTGGGAATGACCAATCGGCTATGGTTAGTACAACCAAACCTAAGCCAAATGGAGACAGGGGGAGTAGTGAGACTAGAAGGGAAGATAAGAGGGACATGGTGTTTGATTATTGTAAGAAGCCTAAGCATACCAGGGGCACTTGTTGGAAGCTTCATCCAAATCTTATGCCTGCCCAGATAAGGAACAAGAAGGGAAATGCAAATGTGGCCACTATAGGAGACTCTTCGGCCCCTCTTTCCCAAACTGATTGGGAATCCATTGCAGTAGCAGCAGTGAGAACAGAATTGGAGATGTTTGGACAACTTATGAGTAAGAAAGATTCACCTAGCTCTGGCCTTCCAGATGGACAACAGAATGCAGGAGCCAACTACACCACTTCTTTTGCACATACAGGTAGTTCATATGCAACTGTAAATCTTGCATCCACTTCAGGTAAGGAGGGATCTCCTGGGATTATAGACTCAAGAGCATCTGAGCACATGACTAATGCCCCTACCCTTTTCAGTTCCTATCAGTTGTTCTATAGTAGAGACAGAGTCTCTACAGTAGATGGTTCACATATTCCCATTGCTGGGAAGGGCACAGTTAGAGTGACCAATGATATAACTTTATCTTTTGTTTTACATGTCCCTAGACTTCATACTAACCTACTTTTTGTTAGTTCTTTGACAAAAAGTTTGAATTGTTCCATGACATTTCTTCCTGGTAATTGTGTTTTGTAGGATCTGGAGTCAAAAAAGATGATTGGGAGTGGTCGTGAAATGAATGGAATCTACTTTCTGGATGAGATTCTGAAACATCAGGCCCATCATATTAACAACAATAGTAGTAGTGGGTCAGAGTCAATGAACCAGATTATGCTTTGGCACAATCACTTGGGACATCTTTCTTTTAGTTCTTTGAAATTTCTTTTTCCAAGGTTGTTTAAGTCTGTTCAATTATCTACCTTGGAGTGTGAGAGTTGTCAGTTAGGAAAGCATTGTAGATAGTCTTTTAAACCAAGTAAAAAAGTAAGTACTTTTGCTTTTAATATGGTTCATATTGATGTATGGGGGCCATATCATATCCCTTCCATGGGAGGATACCGTTACTTTCTCTTGTTTGTGAATGATTATACACAATTTTCTTGGATATATTTGATGATATCACAAGATGAGGTTCCTAACTTGGTACGACAATTCCACCAGATGGTTCTCGCACAATTCTGAGTAAGAACTAAGGCCTTTAGATCAGATAATGCCAGAGAATACTTTGAGAAGGACCTAACCATGTATTTCTTAGAACATGGTATAATTCATCAGAGAAGTTGTGCAT